TAAGACCGCAAGTGTGGGTATTTGGACAAGGCAATTATGTAGTAGTTTGGAATGCACTTGGCAAAGGGAGCGACGTAATTCCTCATTATCTTCAGCTGGGATGTTCCCGTGACAAGCAGCAGTGTGTCTGTCAGCAGATGTTGCTGTTTTAATGGCATAAATGTCTTTTTATTGTTATTAGCACAACTGTTGCAAATAAACATACATTTTATATTTTAAAAAGTTTTTAAATTTGTTTGCGTGTGCAGACCGATCGGTGTATGACATCAAGATACCATACAGACGGTTCCTTATGCTTTCAAAATGCTCTCGAGGTATTTTGATGTCATACACCGATAATATATATATATAGCATATTTTAAAAACTTTTTCCACCACACCTGCTGTATACCCGCAGCAGAAATAAGACAGACTCCAGACAATGCTTTTAGATATGCTTTAATCACGGCCAGGAGGACCTCATACTAATCACAGAGAATCCTAATAACAAAAAGAATACAACGGTTTATATAGCACAGGTGCAAAAATGACATATAGTTACAAATTAGTTTTTTTTATTACATTTAGTCATTTAGCAGACGCTTTTATCCAAAGTGACTTAACCACGGCGAGGCCTGTTCTGAGTGGAACCTGTCCTGTTAAACCGCTGTATGGTCTTGGCCACCGTGCTGCAGCTCAGTTTCAGGGTCTTGGCAATCTTCTTACAGCCTACGCCATCTTTATGTAGAGCAACAATTCTTTTTTGGTCATAAAAACAAAACTGTCAAAACTAGCATTGCAAATACTCTTTGGTACAAACAACATATAAACATATTCCCAACTCAACTACATTTCTAAATCACAGTATTCAGAAAATATGTAAGAGAAAATCACCCTATCACCAAAAAGCCATCACTTAACAGCTCTTTTAAAACTTGTCGAATGTTTTTAAACCCTTTAATGACGCTGGTAATTTATTCTATGCAATTGCACTTGTGTATAAAACAGTATTATTCCCCACCAAACATTTAAATATAATTCCCACCCCTAGTGTCATAGGTATGATTGTCTATTACCATATCAAATTAATTTCCTAAACCAGATGAGGAAAAATTTTGTATGCAATAAAAAAAAAAAAAACGACTTTTCTTTTTCAACTGACAAATAAGCCTAAAACATGAACAGCTTCGAAATTACTCAAACTTATTTTGCGTCTTCTGAAATGTATATTTCATACTTTGTGATCAACTACTGTACCAAGAAAGGCTGCATAATCAGTGCAGTTGTATAATATAACGTTAGTGATGTAGTAGTCTGTAATAAAAAAAACAACTAATCTAAGATTCTCAAGGACATGCAACATGAACTTAAGGTTTATTTGATGTTTGCCATCTGTTTTTCTGCTTTCAGAGTACAAAAGGAAAGTTAACACGTAACCCCTGATAAAACATTCAATGTTTGATTTGAACTCAACATATGCAAATATTACCCTTGACTCATGGATGCATTTGTATCCACTATTTATACCACGTATTTCACTTTACTACACTTTAACCATAATTCCACTGTCCGTTATTCTTCTAAACAGACGACAATGATCACAAAACAACTGCTGTTTAAATGTATTTCACTACAAGCTTCTATACAATTTCATAAAGAGAAAAGACTGAAACAGACACAAGTGTCATATATGAAGACTTTATTGTTCGGACATTTGAAACCAAGAGCATCATAACAGGCTAATGACAATATTTTAAACAATAAGGGGGGGAAAATGACAAAGCAACTGAATCTGAAGAACATCTGACCGATGGAATGGGAAGTAAACAAATGACCCAAAAAAGGAGGGAAGGGGAGGGGGCATCCAGTCGTTCACATTAATGTACAGCAACAATAAAAAAAAATATTCATGAGCGTTTTCCTTGCCTCTGTCCCAAGAAGGGATCATTAATAATATTAAATATCAACATCGATAAAAAATAATTACAAGTTATAAAGAGAAGCCAATACCACTGGGAAGAGTGGCTGGCGGCTGCTTCTGTGTAAGTGAGAAAGAGGAACGGGAGAGATGGAGAGAGATTGGAGAAGGTTATGAAGGGCAGGATGTATTTTTGACAGTCTATGCAGAGAGGTCACTGTTCTCAAACCGTTCCTGATCGTACACCTCAGCGATGACCTTGCGACCTCCGAACCAGCGGTTGTTGAGTGCCTGAATGGCCTTGTTCATCTCTGATGCCGCTGAAAACTCCACAAAGATCTTGACAATGACTTCAGCATCCTCCTCCTCACCCTGCTTCTCCTGATAGATGATCACTCTATTAACAGCTCCAAACTTCCCACATTCCTCCGTTACTTCTCCTTCCAGATCGTCATCTATGTCCTCAGGTCCAACCATGTTCCTGAGCACCATAACCGTAGACTGTGGAAAGAGCATCCAGAAAAGTGTTTCAATGTCACTGCTCTACAACATTCAAAAGTTATTTTTTTTTTAAATAAGTTGTAGCGTCTGCGTAGAATCATGCATGATCTTTGGGTTTTATGGCTTAAGAGACCCTTTTTAGCTTTTAATACTTTTATTCTGAAAGATGAGTATAATTGATCAAAAGACAATGTTTCAAAAGATTTCTAATTCAAGGAACCCTGGGAAAAATGTTTCACCGTTTCCACAAATTAAGCAGCACATCCGGTTTCAATATTGATAATAAATATTTATTGTGCACCAAATCAGCATATTAAAATGATTTCTGAAGGATCATGTGATTCTGAAAACTGGAGTAATGGCTGCTGAAAAATCAGCTGTCATCACAGGAATAAATTACATTTTAAAATAGAAACAGGACTCTACAGTCTGACCAAAATTACCGCATGCGACTGTGAAAAAATATTTAGGAGCACCTGTGTGACTGATCAGGGCAGGTTCGACGGGGGGCTCAGTTAAAACTAATAATAGCATAATGGCGGAACAGACTTTCCAAACAAGTGTATTTGTGTTTGCACTCTGGAGAGCATCAACAGTTTCTATTTACAAAGTTTTTGCACTGCTGAGCAATGTAGGGCTGGGCGATGTGTCAAAAAAATCTTATCGCATAATTTTTTTAAGGCGATTATCGATATCCAATAATATCGTCTACCCAAGCCCCACCCCGCCGAGACAACATTGCCGACATGCACCATAAACACACACCATGTTCAGTTTGGTCTTAATTATTGCCACATTAAAGTTTGGTTTTACTTTTCTTAGTTTGTGCTTAAACTAACAGAAAACATTAGCTTTGCTGTTATGTTGCTAATAATTTCCACTCT